GGAGGGAGGGAGGGAGGGAGGGAGGAAGGGAGGGGAGGGGAAAGAAAGGGAAAAGGGAAGGAAGGGAAGATAAGAAAGAAAGTGAATAAAGGAAGGAAGGGAAGGAAGGGAAAAAGGGAGGGAAGGACGGGGATCCTTCCCCTATCTATTATCTGATAGTATCATAGTATTCATGGATGGAGTGAACATTCGCTTCAATGATTACCCAGGAGATAAGGAAAACCATTTTTCCTCTTTCTTTTCCTCTCTTCCTTTCTCTCTCTATGTTGGGAAGAGAGTACACTTTATTGGTCAAGCATTTGACATGGTTTTTATATAGTTATCATATTTGCCTATTATAATTTTATAAGCCATGTACAAATTAAATTACTCTTTCAATCAATAATGTTTTTCAAGCCTCAGTTATTTCAAACATTGTGTTGAGTAGCTAAGATATAATAATGGAAAAGACAGTATTTTCAGCTTGTAAGTAGTCAGTGTCATAAGGCAGACACACAGGAAACCAATACTTTCCCTAAGGTGAATAGTGGTAAAATAGAGACCAGAGTATGATTATATAACCCATCTGTGGTTGAGAGTAGGTGGTGGGTGGAGTGCCACCCACTCCAAGTAGGAAAAATGCCCATAAAAATGTGTTGAAAGATCAACAGGAGTTAGTACACAGCATTGTCTCAAGGATAGTATTATTGGCATTTGGGGCAGGATAATTCTTTTTTGTGGGCTATCCTGTGTGTTGTACGACATTCAGCAGCATCCCTGGCCTGCACCCACTATATTTCAGCAGCTCCCCCTATTCATTCAGTTGTGATAACTAAAAATGTCTCCAGATACTTCCCCTAATGAGAGAGGTGGTGGATGCAAAATTGTCCCTAGCTGAAAATCACTGGCTTAGAGAAATAAGTCATGAGATGAGCCCTGGGAATGGTTTTCAACATGCTTAAAGATACAGGGAGTGAAGTAACATGGTAACAACAATACTTCTGTGATCGATGATCAAGGTAGGCAATATTTATAATGCAAAATTATATACAAACATTAGACTGAGTCTCTGTGTAGAATAACTCATTTCTCTTCACTATAACCTTATGAGATAAGTGTTACTATTAAAACCCTGTTACAAAAACCCTATTAAAACTCTGTTGAGGGTAATGGGGAGCAAAAATCTAATGCAATTGCCCAGGGCCACCCCACAAGTAGGACAAATACTCAACCCTAGATCAAGCGAACAGACAGTGCAAAGCTCGAGCACTTTTTAGAATACCGTGTTGCAAAAGGCTTTTTATGTCTGGAGTAGAGTGTGCACAAAGAGATTTGAAGAGACAGAAGGTAGAAAGACAAAGGCTCATTTACTACCTGCAAAGGAGTCAGACTTAAATGTGAAAACAATGCGGAGTTCCTGAAATATTTTTAGCAGAAGAGACACATAGAAAGAACCCTGTAATAGCAACAGGCAGAATGAAGAAAATTCATGGGCACAGGTCCGGGGGAAGGAAGAGCAATTAGGAAATTACTGCAACAGTACAGATGAGAAATGCTGAGGTCCCAACCAGTGAGGGCAACTGTGCGAATGAGTAGAGCTACTCATATAATGAACTGGTGACCAACCGACCTGATGACTCACTGGACACGGTCGCTGTCTCCAAGTCATTGGGGAAGTATGGACCTCAGCTGGTCTCTAAGGGAATGACTTCTTTCCCTTTTCTTTTCCTTTCCTTTCCTTTCCTTTTTCACATCTTCAGAGTTTACAACTAATTATGTTGAGGCTACACCAGCAGCAATGCCCCTGCTTTCTGCTTTACTCATTCAGTAAACATTTACCAAGTGGTTAATAGCACACAACAAATGGCACCAGTAAAAATCTCTGACAGGCCAGGCATAACACCATATGCTTTCTGTATGTTACCACATGCATCCCTCATAACAACCCCTTAAAATAACGTTGTTGCCCCACTTTGCAACACAGAGGCTCATATTACTCAGCTGACCCAGGATTGGAATCCAGAGTCGTTTCACTTCAAAAATTTTCCACTAACCGGGGTGCCATTCCTTGCCCATATGCAGTTTACAAAAGAGACAGAAAATACAGAGTATTCAGGTCACAAAGGCCAAATGCAAGCGACAACTGGAAAAAAAGAGAACTGAACATACAAACAATTTTGGATTGCAGATATGCAGTACATGCGTGTTCTTGCTGGGACAATGGGAACATAAGTGGCTATAAGAAAATGGAATTATTTAGATAAGATTTGTTAAAGAAAGTCTTAGTGGCACCTTAGAAAATGTAAGCAGTATAGAAGAGTGGAGAATTAAAAGCAAACCCTTACGCCAAGAGAATCTGATGCAAACAAAGGTGCTGAAGTAACATGAAGGGCGATATGCAGTGGGGGTACCGAGCTGGTGGATTTACTGCCTGGGCTTATTGGGAGAAATAATGAATGAGGCACTCCACCATTACAAGGCTAAATATCAAAAGGAGGCCTCTTAGAATGATATTCAGTACTGGAAAGCAAAAAAAAGGAAAACCCTTTAAGATACTGGGTAACAAAGTGCCTGATCCGAACTCAGTTTTCTGTGCTGTACTTTTAAAAACTTCCTCTCTCCTACCTGGCCCCGTTTGCTTTATCTTGCCTCTGGTCTCTTTCCCTCCATGTGTCCCTGACACTCTTCTGTTCTCCCTAATATATTTCACTGACTTTTTCCAGTAAAGAATTAAGCGTCTGCCAAGTTGCCCCTAGAGCATGCCAGTTTCAGCCTTTCTTGTCTTTTTCATTTTTACCCTGCCTCTCTGCATTTCTTACGACTTATTTCTTCAGAGTTGTTTCTCCTCCTCCCCTGTGCAGTTCCCCTTCCTTTCCTGTGGGGATTGATTGACCTGTATCATTGCATCTTCCTTCCACACTCTAAGTGGTCGAGTAACATCGGCTACAGTTACTGCTGCACAACGAACTCTCAGTTGGGGTGGTGGTTCTCAAATATCAGCAAGCCTCAGAGTCAGTTGGAAGCTTGTTGAAACAGTCTGCTGGGCCCCTTCCCCAGTTTCTAATCGAGGAGGTGTTTGGGGGCCTAAGAATGTGCATTTCCAATAGGTTCCCAGGTGATGCTGAGAACCACTGGAGCTGGGGAATCAACAGCTGTTGCCTGGTAGCAGTCAGGAGACATCAGCCCAGCAGTCAGACAGAGAAGACATGGAGCCTTTGTTCCTTGTCACATCAACAAAGGGACTGATGACAGCCTAGGAAGCTCTGGATAAGTGACCCCACTGATGTGCTGGGGTGCAGGCAGGAGGGGAGAACAAATGGGAAAAGGACTGTATTGTAACCTTCTGGGAAACACGGAAGCCAGCTTCAAGCCCTGTCATCCACCCTCCCGCTTGAGATCATGCATAGAAGCAGCAGAAGGGAATTCTCAGGATCCCTTTGATCTCTTCCCAGCTCCCTAGTCTTGTGTCTGTTTATCTCCCTCCTTCCCTGGCCTCCTCTCTTCCCTCCTTCTTACCCCCTGCCCAGTATGATTCACTCCTCCTCTCTCCGCCTCCCCACCCCACTGCCATCTGTTTTTCTAATGATGGCAGAAGATGAGCTGTTTTGTTGGCCCACACCGTAACAAAGCACACTCCACGCTAGCATTTTCCCTGATGCGCTTGCAGAGCGCTGTTTTATTGGTATCATTTCCCCACCCGGTTTTCTCTTTTCCCTCGAACCCCACCCTTTCCCCCTCTCCAGCCTCATGTGGATCCTGGATTCCCAGAATTAGATCAAGAAACACAGAGATACAGAAGGATGGACTTAACATGCATGTGGGCTGGGTGTGCATCAGGGAGGAAGCTGGAAATTAGGGCAGTTAAAGGGGTCTCTCTGCAGCACCCACAGGAGCCAGAATTACCCAAGCATTGCTGCTAAGTGTCTTACTTTCTTCCAGTGTGAGATGTGGATAACAAAACTTGTTGAAACCTGTTGTGACTGACACCAGAATGCTTGTACTCGTCACTGGCTATTCTTAGGCTGGGAGGGCTTAAACTGTGTGTGTGTGTGTGTGTGTGTGTGTATGTGTGTGTGTGTGTGTGTGTGTGTGTGTGTAAGTATCTCCTTTTCCTATGTCAGAATTCCTGGGTCATCCTTTCTTAGAAATACTCTGCCTTATTCTCGAATTTTAAAATTACCTTCAGTTAATCTAAGTAAAGAAATCACAGCAGCCTACGTCCCCCCACTGATTGGAGAATCTACTATGTGAAAAAGCAGACAAGATTTCTTGAGGTAATAAAAGTCGAGTTTAGTTAATTAACAGTGGACAACAGGCCTACCTATGAGGTTGCAAACATAGATGCCCGCATGACCCAGGCAGTGATTTTAAACCAGGAACGCCCACCAGGTAAGTAGCCATAGGGAAAGGTAAAAGCTGTACTGCCTGGAGAGAGTTGCGCTTCTGTCTGCAGCTGCTACTCAGAGCCAGCTAATTGTTGTCATGGTTGCCAGCTAGTCTTGTTTTTCAAGAGAAAAATCTTTGTGGAGAGTTTTAAATATTTATTTTTATTTGAGATGTGTGCGTACGCATGTAATGTTATCTACGCACATATGAATTTTATGTAAAAATCCTAATTTTTAAACATTGGCAACCAAAAAGAAAATAGTTTTTAGACACTGTGCTGGCCAAACAAACCTGCCAGTGGGACATCAGTCTCCAAAACTCTGAGTGAATTAAGCTCCAACAAGGCCCAGTTACAGAATCCCAAAACCATAAATAATCCTGACTCGCTTTCTTAAGTTAGCTTCTATTAAGTCATTTAAAGTGGAACTCCAAAGATTTTGCTAAAACAAAACAAAACAAAAATCAGAAGTAATTTCTATAAATTTAAGACTGTGGAACCAACTTAATTTAAGAAATTAAACAAAGGGCAGAGGAACCGGGGAGGGACCAAATCCTAAATTAGAAAGACTGAAGCTCCATGAGTTAAATCCACCTGAGTTCTCTAGTCTGAGCTGGGGAAGGGGAAGCTGTCTTACCTCACACGACTGGATGCAGTGGACCAGGACGGGGTCTGGGTGCCATTGACGCTGGCCAGTACACACAATGCTCTAAGGGGAAAGACAAGAAAAACAGAAAACAAAATTGAAGACATTTGGTCTATGCAAGAAGGGGCAAATCCTGAGCTCACCACAGGAGTCCAACTCCACTCCTCAAACAGCCAGTTTCCACAACTGTGCCCCATAAAGAGTACTGGGGCTATCTAGCCTTTCCTGTGCACACTGCCACTCTGACAGATTTTGTCCAGGCAGAACGTCTCAGCAGAGGAGATTTCTCAAAACCTTTTATCCTCTTTCCCAAGATACCTAAATTTTCAGAGTGGTGTAGTGTTGTTCAAAAAAGCATCCTCAACATTATAAGGAGTTACATCTGGTTTCAGGCATAATATTAGTTCCACTTATTTTGAAACTTTAAATAATGTTATAAGAAATTGTAAGATGGCTATGTTGATCACACACAATGGGGTTTTTTTTAATGTTGACAAATATAGTTTTAGGAAAGAGTCTTCAACTTAATGTGGATCTCAGAAATGCCAGATCATAAGACGTGAGTGCCTACACCAGGACTGGAGGTGAAACTGCACTCTGCAATTCTTGGTATCATCACGCAGCCTGCCCTGTAGAAAACTGCAAAGTACACATGCACTGGGCAAACAGGGCTGGTGTGAAATCACTGCTACTCAAAGTCACACCAACATCAAGCTGGTGGGAGCACAGTTAGGTTCTTCTTGAGAGGCTGGTGACTGCCTCGTTCCTGACGGCCATTTTCAGATGCATATTTAAACAAATAGTCATGTAGTTTTTGTTATATATAAGTAATTCATTTTCACATAATTTTTTCTTTTTATATTTTAATATTCTCAAAGAATATGCTTTTCTAAGGAAAACAGAAAATCCCATAGCAGGTTTCAAAGAGAAAAGAAGGTTCTCTCCATAGCCTGTTACCAACCCACCCTTCTGCAGACCTGCGTATTCACATTTTAATCAGTCCAACTGAACTTCCATGCAGTCAGAAGAAAAAGAATACATGTCAACATGGGAGCTTTACACGAGAGAGCACCTACAGGAATTTTAGAATGCTAACAATGTGTAATCATTAGATTGGAGACATTCACATATGCTAATATACAGGTATATAAATATATACCTCATAGTCAGGTAGGAGAATGGGGATCTGCAATATTTTTCTGGAGTTACATTGCTAAAAGTGAAAACTCCTCCCACACAGCTTCTCTAGAGGGAAAATAAATAGTACAAATCCTAAAATCTTTGATACTCAAAACTTCACATTGCAATATATTGTTAGAAAGTGACATGGCTTAAGTCATTATTGTACTAAAAAAAGAATTATCAAAACAAATATATAAGGTAAACACAACAGGATTATTCAGCCTACTGAAAAAGTGAGTTATTTTCCTGCATTTACAGCTATTTATGCAGAACCATTTGCATATCAACAGTAATTCTTTTAACTACAAATGATTCTTGTTTATGCTTTGAAGCAGATTCCACTGGAAGTTTACTGAGCCGTGATCATAAATTTTGTTATTTAAAATATCAATGGTTTGTACTACTTTGGGGTCCCAGATAGTAGCAATGGCAAAATATAATTTGTCCTTTAAAAGGCAAATGCATGAGAACTTTATTCCTTCTCATAGGGGGGCATTCACCAGAGACCCGCAGTTTCCCGCCCTAATCAGTCAGTTGTTCAATTCAGACCAAATGTATAAATACCTCACTCACTCACTATGGGTCAGATTTTCCAGTGAGCAAGGGAATCTGAAAATCCATAAACCTAGTTAACGCCCGTAAAGAGTTCAGTATCTTTAATCGGATTCATGTTGAGGAATATTCGGGTTATTTTCAGCCATTTGCTATAACAAACAAAGCTGGTATATAAATCATGTACAAGTATATCTGAAGAATAAATTCATAATAAAGGAGTCAATACCCACCCTTATAGATATTTAATGATGTGTAATTTAGTTTTGAGACTAATTCATACTGACGATTCTCCTTAACTGCTACAGAAATTGTAAAAGTTGGTGATACTGTCGTATCACTTCCTAGACTGCAAAATCCTTTAGGGACTATCTACCTTGTCCTATTTCTTATCTCAGTGACTTACAGAGAGATGAAGTTTTATAAGCAGATGCCAGTCACTAATTATGATACTGCTTCTCTAGCCTTCTCTTATGATCTATCTCATAAAGATGTTCCCTATTTATAAATATATGTATTATGCCATTATAAATATATGTATATGCCACTAATATGCCATTAGTGATTATAATTGGAGGGATATTTCAAATGTTTTTCAATACTCAATTCTATGGCAGCATTTGAGGTAGAAGAGGGCTGTAAATTAGGAAGAAAAGCAAAGTAGTGAGATGGACAGAGAAGGGCTGGCTCCTGGTGAGAGGTGAAATCATTTTATTTTATTTTCGTATTTATTTATTATTTTATTTTATTTTTAGAGACAGTCTCACTCAGTCACCTAGGCTGGAGTGCTATGGCACAATCATGGCTCACTGCAGCCTCAATATCCTGGGCTCAAGCGATCCTCCTACTTCAACCTCCTGATCAGCTGGAACTACAGGCATGTGTGTCACCATGTCAGGCTGATTTTTAAAAAATTTTATTTTAGAGACAGGGTCTCACTATGTTGCCCAGGCTGGTCTAAAATTCTTGGTCTCAAGCAATGCTTCTACCTGGGCCTCCCAAAGTGTTGGGATTACAGGCATGAGCCACCATGCCTGGCTTATTTTCTTATTTTCTGAAAGACTTTGGAAAAATTACAATCATATACACTACATTTGAAAACTATAACAATAGAAAAAAAACTTTATATCCTCTGCGTAACTTTATCAAAATTTTTAACATTTTCCAGAATATAAGTCACAACAGATTCCACTAATGTCCCTCTATTATCATTATACTTCCTTCCTCCCTATTGGTAACAAATATTCTGAATTTGTTATTGTACAACTGCAAGTCTATGCATTACTTTGTTATTATAACTATTGCAATTATGCTATTACCAAGCAACTTCTTGCATGATTGATTTCCAATATCTAAATGCTAAATAGTTGTTTTGAACTTTCCAACATAAAAACACTTAAGAGAAAATTAGTTAAAAAATTTCCTCCTCACTGGACCATTTGAAAGTTTCTAAAAAGCAAGGGGAAAAAAGAAAAGAAAGAAAGAAGAAAAATTGAGGGAAGAAGGGGGGGTAAGGAAGAAAGGAAGGAGAAAGGGAGGGGAGAGAAAAGGAGAGGGAAAAAGAGAGAGAAAGAAAAAGAAAGAAAAAAGAAAGAAAAAAAGGGGATGGGAGGGGAGGGAAGGGAAGTAAGGGTTATTAGGATGGTCATAAGTTAGCATGAAGGCTGTTGCCTGGTTAAATGTCTTGCTAAAGGTCACAAAACTCAAGGATAGCCAACAATAAGGGCTAACAGAAAATTGCTCAATTATTTTTTTATTAGGATAGTTATTTGACAGAATGGGTTGTTAATCACATCAGGTCACAAAGTTCTGCCAATGTCCACATTTGTGATAACTTCCTTATTGCTACATGTATGTGCTCCTAAGGAAAACATAGCGTTGTTTTGGATGTTTATTTAGACCATAGCACACTACCCTGCAGCTTGCTTTTCTGTTCCTCCTCCCCTTTCCTCCAAGACTCTCTTGTCTACTCTTCTCTGGTGATGAGACACTTGACGCCTAGAGGGAATGATTCCATGCTTAAAAATGATGAAAAGAAGACCTTTCCATGCCCATGTTTGAATCTCCAATGATCTGCAGCCAGTGTCACTGAAGTGTACACAATTGTACCCACCAAGAGGACACTATGGGGGCGGGGCTCAATGTTAAGAGCCAGAGGGGAGAGTGAGATCATTTGGTTGGAAACTATGGCTCCCACAAGGTATTATCTTCTCATTTTCTTCTTGCTTCTCTCTTCTCCTTAAACCATTCATTTTGATTTAAAGATTATTTAAATTTTGGGGAACAATTTGGGAAAACAAAGTTAGAAATGATAAGATTTGACATAACTAATTAATTCTGTTGAAAAGCTGGGAATTTGAGAGAGATTTCATACAGTCTTAAAGGCTCTTTGCAAACCTATTTCATGTAGCCACAGAAAAATCTCATTTATTTGGTCCTCAGTAATTCATAATTATCGTATTTTAAAAAAAAAGTGCTGGTTAGTCTGTGGAAAAAGGAATTTATGAAGCAAAATAATAGGGGAAATGAGATGTCATGATGAATGTCTTTGTACTTCAGAAGGAAGCACTTTCAAATGCTATTTAGGAAAACACATTTTCATGAAAACAATTGCCACAATGTGCAAAAAAAAAAAATTATCCATGAAATGAGTTTACTGAAGGACCACTACTTTGCAAGTTAAAACATAAATTTTTCCCATCTTAAAGTCAGAGATACAATAAAACACTTTCTTGACACAATGGTTAAGGATAATCATTAAAATTCAACTTAACATAGGCTTTTTGGGAAAACAAAATTTTTTTTTATATAGAATAAAGTTTTTTAATTGCATTTTAGGTTTTGGGGTACATGTGAAGAACATGCAAGATTGTTGCATAGGTACACACATGGCAGTGTGGTTTGCTGCCTTCCTTCCCCTCACCTGTATCTGTCAAAATGTTTTCTTTGAGAAACGGCTCTGTGGTAGTCATTCTTTTCTGTGGGCCTTTTGATTTCCTGCAGCCACCACCTCCTGAATAAAAGATGAGATGAATCCCGCACTGAGGAGATACCTGGGGTGAAGGAGAATGTATCATCTCCACCCTCAGCACTCGTACAGTTTACTGGGGAATTGGGATTCGCATGGCAGAAAAGAAGAAAAAGAATAAGAATCTAGAAAAAAATAGGGGTGAGAAAATGACAAAGTACTTCTAGTGAAAGCCTGAGGAAGCTTCTCCCACTCGCTGGGTGCAGGTGCCTTGGACATTAGGAGTGTCTGTGCCGGTGCAGAGGCATCTGGCAGAAGCTTTGATCTGGGCATTGCAAGGGCATGAGCAATGGGCATCAGC